GTGGGGGGTGGCTGCCTACCGGCCTGCCAATCAGTTGATCGGTGGGTGGGTAGGCAGAATGGGAAAGCCATAGGAAGAGAGGGAAGGTTAGTCTTCCCTCTCTTCCTATGGGGGATAAATAAAAATGGGGAAATATTCATCCCTTCATATTCTTTGAGGTCTCTGGAACCCACAAATATGAAGGGACAAATATTTAACAAATCAGCAATTTCTGATGAATATCGTGATCCTTTTTTTATTCATCCCCATGGCTAGTAGCGATCTGTGTATTGTTGGAGTTGCAATCTTGTGAATAAAAGCTAAAGAAAGACCAACTTCTTTTCAGGATATTTAATGTGGAAGTAGCCATGTTTACCTCTTGCAAGGAATTTTTTTCCCGTTTTTACTTGGAAGTTAATTTAATTATGTTCAGTAGGCTTGTTCCCATTTAAGTGTGCATAGAATTATTGTCTATTATCGTTCTTTTTAAACTCCACTGTTATAAATGCTGAAATGCAACTATGGAATTTGAATGCCAATGTAAAAACTGCATTTCAAATTTCATGCAAAGTAAATAATAATGTTACTGATCTCATATTCCTTCTGGGTCAATAATTTCAAAATTTGAGGTCAGGATAAGGGCCTGTGAATTGAAGTCTACATAGGTATTTTTTCAGGGGTGCAGAGGTTAGTTATGCTACTCAGATACAGCTTTTTAGATTAACTTCTAACATTTGGATAACTCAGTGAAACCTCACTGAACTTAGTGGTGTCAAGCTGTTGATCACCAGATGGGGATCTGGATTAAATCATAGCCTGCTAGCTCTCTGGACAGCTCAGTGAGTTGGAGCACTGCAGAATCAGGGTCAGGAGTTTGATTCCCCACAGGGCTTTATATGAAAATTCTGTGTGGCCTTCGGCAAACTACACCAAACCTGAGTACCCCAGAAGAAAGCAATATTAATCCAGTTCTGAGTATTTTATACCTAGGAAACTTTGGAAAGGATTGTTGTAAGTTGGAATTGACTTGATAGAATGTAATTATCGTTTTGTGTGCTTTTGCAAGAATAGCAGTTCTTCCAGTTAAAACAACATTTTGGAGAAATTACAGTTTTGGAAATTGTAAACTTTCAATAAACGATAATGCTTCTCTTTGTTGCTTTTAGTTTTTATTTTCCACACATTCATTTGGAATCTGTGTGGATAGTATCATGATATCATTCAGTCACTATGCAGGAATGATTTTCCTTGTATCTTGGTGGAGTGAAGTTGCTCTCAGATCCAGGTTGCTGTTCTATCTTTTTTGCCTGGCTTCAGGAGCATCCTCTACCCCTCAACAAAACAAAACACAAAACAAAAGAGGAGAGAAAATATAAGAATTGCCACTCCTGGATTGGTAATTCTGCTTTAAAACTAGATGTAGTCTGCCTCTGCACCTTGTGTATTTTTTTAGTTAATATCCAGCTATTTCTAATTTTGTTTTCTAGCACTGGTGTGAGAGAAGATCTCAACCTCTTCTTGAATTCAATATTGTTCCAGGAACATTGCCATCACCCCAACATCATTGGGTTGGGTGGGGGGACAAGCTTGTTTTGACTAGCTGAGAAAATGGTGTGTGGAAAGTATGCTCAGAGCGAAAAGCAGAGGGAGTATATCCATCCCAAGATCCCATTTGTTTTTGTGATAAAAGATAAAAGAGTATTTGTGTCAGATCAAAGCATGGGTATTCTTCAAGAAAGGAATGGGCAGAGGGAATGTAAATCATGGGATAAGGAGACAGAAGTTCATTTCAGATTTTTATTTAATCTCTCTTGTTCATCCTTGTGTTAAGGAAACAAGCTAATGAAACAAATGAGGGATAAAGAGTAAGAATCTAATTGGTCAGCCAGTGCAAACAATGCTAAGCCATGCCAGTCCATAAAAACCAGCCAAATCCTAGATAACCCACAGGTACCTTTGTTTTAGGTCAAGTGGTTGAAGTGATGATTTATGAGGGAGAAAGCAACTGATGATGTATGCATTGCCAAAGGATACTGGAAGTTGGAATTGCCAGCTTAAGCAAATTGTTGTGTAGGAGCTGAATGCCAGAACTGTTGTTTGCCATAGATGGAGACAAGATATCTCTTTGGGAGTCTAAGGCCACTTATCCAAGTAGTCAAGGGATGAGCTGAAAGGAACCCAAGGATCACTAACAAAACCAAGGGGGGGGGGTTCATTTATGCCCCTTTCTAATCCATGGACAAATTACAACAGAGCAAAACGAAAGCCTAAAACCAATTGCTAACCCCAGCTATAGTAGATCTATTGAATCAGTTGCTGCATAAGGAGTTCACATTTATGTAAATCATTCTGGTCCAGAAATCATCAGTGAAAGTTTTGTACAAGTTGCATATAAACATTATTGCAGCGATGGAGAAAATTCACCTCTCCAGTTGTCAGCCTCCAGAACAGTACAGCCCAATGGTAAGAGACTGTGGGAGTTTTAAATCCAAAGGGCCAAAGGCTGCAGTATTGCCTGGTAATGTCCTTGATGTTGATAATCCTATCTGAACTCTGTGCATGAATGGTTGTGAGGGAAGTTGGAGGTTATGGGAGTGACAAGCTGAGGAAGGCTGCTGTAAAGGAGGCAAGTAGCTCCCAAAGAAGAGAGTTGCCCCTTTGTAGTATAGTATAAGAACTGAAAGGCTGAGGTATTGGAGAATTTAGGGGAGATGTTTTCTTAAAAAAAAAAGCAGTGTTCTCAAGTTCTGTACAATTCTGTCATTCTGTGTTATGGTCTAGTGTTTAACCTACTTAAATGTAATTTGTCTGAGGTGGCTTACTGTGACTTTAGAAATACGTGGTGAAATCCTTGATTAAAGAGTATCAATTCCTTTCATTTGCACATTTATACAAAGCAGCTGCATTTTCCCCTCTCTTTACTGTTGGCTCTGAATCTTATGCAAGATTGATAGAAGTCTAAACCAACATTTTAGGTAGAAGAATTAAATGTACAGTAATTAGCCGCCTAGAGTGGTCCTGACCCGACCAGATAGGCGGGATATAAGTAAAATAAATAAATAAAATAAATAACCTATCCAGAATTGTTATGATTTCATGCAATTCACATAACTTCTCTGAAGAAGATGCGGAATTCTCAAGGAAACAAATCTCAGGATAAAATGGCAAATGAAATATCTTTTAATTATCTGTTTATGATTTCTGCTTATCTGAGATCACAGGCACTGTATATTTGAACACTGGGGATAAACACATTTCACTTTATTTAAGTATAAAATTGTCAGAGTTTGCAGAGTGTTATTTGAACTGCATCTGCAATAATTACATAAAATAGCAAAATTAGTTCAAGTTACTGTGAATGAACGAGAGCTTAAAAATCACATATTTCTCCAGGTTGTATCATTGATGTTCTATGGCACTTTTTTGCAAAACAACAGTGCCACCTAGTGATTTTCTAATCTCTGCTCTGCTTACACATCCTCTTATTTCTTCCTCTACCTAAAACACAAAACAAAACAAGTGAATATAATCAGTTCTGTGTAGGGTTTTTGTGTCATGTTTACTTAGACCCATGTGCCCCACAGGCAATCAGAATAGGATAGATCAAGATTTCATGTGCCCCTTTTGTTCTATATGCTAGTCAGAGAACCCAGGGTAAGAAATTATATTTGGCCTGTAAGTGCCCAGCAAGCTCACCCTTACATGGTGTGTATACAGTAGAAGCAAAGCTCAAAGAGACCAACCAGTTTTAGGGGAGGGAAGACCTATAACTTCAGTACCCTCACATCTTTGCATTGCCTAATTGTGCTAGCTTTTCCTCTTTCTGAGAGGTGCTCTAGCTACCAATCAGGCAATGTGTTTCCGCAGAACCGTCAATAGAAAGTGGCTATAAAATGCCATAAATCAACTTGTTTGGCCATATTTTCTTTCGCTGTGGGAAATCTTGATGAAGTGTCCATTTATTACCTTTCAAATGTCTAGATCTCATGGGAAAAGAATAAATGGGAGGATGAGGATCGTAGCTGCAGTTGTTCTTCTGGTAGTAATGGAGCAGCACAGATTGGTCAAATACATGACCTGAAAAAGAATTACAATTGGACAGTAAAATTAGTGGGCAACATACAGTAGGCAGACCTTCATGCGTGCCCTGCTCATTTTTGAGCCTGGAACCTCAGAGATTCCCCATCCTCATCGCCATGTGCATTGCCTAATTTAGAATAACATTTGCTGCTCCTAGATGTCTTATCTTAATTTTTAAAAAAATCCCTTCTTCTTAAACCTTAAGAAAAGTTTTAGTCTATTTTAGAAAGAGGGGGTAGTGTGACCTGCAGCAGACCTTATAGAGACGGGACCCTGCACCCTGCCTTACCAAAATTGCCTAGCCCTGGCGTAAGTGATTCTCACCCATTTTTAGCAAACCTCTCCCTCCATTTGTGGAAGTTCAAGGGCAATGTATATGACTTCTGCAGGAGGGAATTCTGCCCCAAATGACAAGCCCCAGCCACCCAATCTCCTAGGATAGAGTCATCACGGTTCAAGTACAGGAGGCCAGCCTGACATCCCCACTGAATTTGTGGCAGCATCAAATTATTTTATAGGCAAGCTTCAGGCAGATTGCTTTAGGAATTTTTTATTGGTTTTATAGAAGCTGTTTTCTACTCTACGTTACAGCATGAGCATGTAACATAGAGTGGTCTTTTAGACCAGATGGGTGGGGTATAAATAAATAAATAAATGAATAAAGTTATTTTAATGCTGTTTTTATCTTTTTATTCTGTAAGCTGCCCAGAGTAGATTACCAAATCTAGATGGGCGGGGTTAAAAAATAAATAAATAAATAAATAAATACTCAACAGTGATCTCCTCCAAGGTTTTTCTATTTTTTTAAAAAAGAAGTTGGCTCTGATTTTTTTTTAAAAGTTTCTTAAAACCAATCGTTCATCTGTTTTTAAAGAATGTCCTTAACATTTTAATTTTGTGCATTGCTCTAGAGGCCCTCATGGGCTGAAACATTATGAATGAACTATTTAATAAGAAACCTTCATTTCATAGTTTGCAGAAGAATTTCAGATAGATGTGGCAGCTCTGTCTTTGCAAACTAATCCTTTGCAAAAGGAAGAATTTTAACTCCAATTTTAAAACGACTAGAGTGGAAGCAAATAATATGTTCAGTTATAGTTTAAGCGAACAGAGGTGCAGATGCAATAATATTATTGGCGGCACTGTCTGGGGCCAGCAACCCTTTAATTCAGCTTTCAGAGATGTCACTGTGTCGAGTTGTTTCAGAAACAGGGAAAAATGTATTGTGTCACCTTTAAGACTACAAAAAAACCCAACAACCCTCATTTCAATATGCGATTCATAGATGACAATCCAGTTCTTCAAACAAATCTGAAGAAAACATCTTGTTCTTAGGAAGTGGATTGTAAACCAAGAAAGCTTACATTTAAGCCAATGTATTACTTTTAAAGGTGCTCTGCCTATCTTTAGTTCAGTCCTTACATCTTCATGGTGAATTCAACTGCGTTCTTTTGATGGGCCCAGTTTCTCTCAAGTCTCACAAAGACAAGGGTCACTGTAAGAAGGCATACCTGTTCATGTTTTCCCACCTGATGGCCAGCTTCAATCAATTTGTTCCGGCTGACAACCTCTAGCAATTCTTTTAGCTTCACTATTCTGATAATTAATGAAAAATTGCATCTACCGTCTCTCCTCCCGACTTGCATCCCCTCCCCTTGGCAAAGGGATTACTTTGGCTCCAAGCTCAAGCAGAAGTGGTAGAAGATCACAGAAAGCGTGGAGGACACTGAGTGAACAAAACTAGGGGCAAAGGTCATGGGGTCACAGCAGGGAGTCAAGAAATCCAAAAGGATTAAATTTCTCCCGTACCTGATATAACCGCCTTCGGACCTTGTAGGCATCACAGGATAGATCCCAGCTGTTGTTTATCACAGAATGAATGGGCACACAACCCTATCTGTTCCCTGCAAAGGTTGAAAAATCAGCCCCTTCAGCATTTTTTTTTACAGCTGTCACTTTTGTTCCTTATGCTCTGCATCCTGTAATGAGCTGACTAAGGCTCTTGAGTGCCTGACAAGCTGGAATTGTTTTGCCCTTGAGAGAGAAGATGGTATTTTCCTTTAAGGCTACAAGGTTTCATTAAAATTACATCAAGGTTTGCTACAGCAAAGGTCCCCACTCAAGGCACAAATAATCAGGAGCCTTTGATATCCTCAAAACATGGAGGAGAGGAGAGGATCTCCTCTTCATTTGATTTCCCCTTTCTAGATCTTTGCAATATACAACTAATTGACCGGCTGCTGCGTACTGCCCATGTGCTGGGTTGTGATGGCTGGCAAACTGTGTCTTAGGGGGCATTAACAAATCTGGTTGAGGCATCAGTGGGCATATTATAGTGCCAGCCAACACTATGCACCCCCGAAGAAGGCAACATAAAAAGCCCCTATTGTGGGGGCCCACCTTCTTCCCCGCATTAGGGGCCAAGTGGGATGAGCAAGGCCCTACAGGTGCTCTTCACAGCAGGCAAAACCACCTCAGGTGCCAGTGGGTCTACCACAACAGCAGGAGGCATGACAGACCATATCCCAAGCCCTTGTCCACATCATGGAACTGCTGGACTTCCTGACATCAAAAATCACACAGGCAGTAGCAGGCCAAGTGGGAGTGCCAGGTCTGGAGCCTTCCCCTACCAGTGAGTCTAGCAGCCCCAGTTGAGAGCAATGTAGGAGAAAGAAGAAATGGAGGCAAGATCAAGTCACTGGCAGAGGAGTTCCACCAGGCGGTTGTGCTTGTCAGACACAGCACCTCTGGCAAGTCCTTCTAATTCCACTTGATTCACCATCTGTCCTATCCAAAAGGGACATCATTCTGTGATGCTGTTCCTTCTGAGTTCTGCACAGTGTGTTATGCATTTGATCATGCAGTAGCATTGGTTATAGCATTTGCCCCCTGGGCACTACTTCTCAAATTTGATGTCCAGTGAATCTTCAGGCCACTGCCTGTCTTCCTAGAGGATTTATCACGGTTAGGACTCTGATCGAATTTTCATGGCAGCTGACATGTAGATAAGGCCATGCCCATAGCTGTTCAGTGTCCCGTGCAACATTTGAGAGGTTCAGCGCCTTCCTGGATTGGACAAGATCCATAGTGGTCATACACTACCTAGATAACTTCTTTTTTATCAGGAGGGTGGGGACTTCAGAGTGTGCTAACCTGTTAAGACTTCCAGGGTTTGGCAGTTGAGCTGGGCATTCTATAAGTGGAGGAAAAGACAGAGGGTCCATCAACCACACTGGTTTATGTTGGCATTCAAATCAACACTATGGTAGTACATCCCACTTCATAGAGGCAAAGGTTTTCATCCTTAGGGAGCTCATAGCAGCATTCCTGCCCCAGAAACAATGCTCACTTACAGAGCTACAGGTAGTTCTGGCCCACCTTAACTTTGCTTTCAGGATGGTGGCACTCAGTTGGGTCCTCTGTGCTAGAGCCATGCTAGGGATATTAGCACCCCACCATCACATCAGGCTCACTAAGGGCATGAAGAAGCACCTGTTGATTTGGCTACCCTTGCCAGTTGAATTTAATGGGATTACTATTTTGCAGCAATATACTCTATGAAGCTGGGAGAGGTATTCAGATCTGCTTGGATGTGGCAGGCAGGATAGGTTTCGGGATCCATTTGATGGGCAATGGAGTGCTTAGAGGTGGCCGCAGACATGGGCTGGGTCAGACATTTCATGGGATTTGGCTCTCCTGGAATTATTTTCCTTTGTGGTGGCAGTTACACTATGGTGGGATCTGTTCCAGAACTAGTAGTTAGGTTCTGGTGTAGCCAGAGTCAGAGAGAATAATGCATCTTGCATGGAGGCTTGTCCATATCTGTTTGTCCATCATCATAACTTTGTCAGCCGGGCTTGTTTCAGGATTGGATAATGCATCACCGAGGCTCTGTCTCATTTCCAGGAGGACAAATTTCACATGCTGCATGATAACTTAATGGTCCTAGTATAGTACTCGGGTTTTGTTTTCTAAAACTGGAGGTAGCTGCCATTTATAATATGGAAGAAAAGATGTGAGTAATCCATAAGATTTAGCCAACTTCTGAAAAATGACCTTTGCCACTTTGTTATGGCTGCATATATAATTTCTTAGTATACTGGTTTGAGGCAACCAGAAATGACACAATGAACTGTTTCTTTACATTGTGACAAGGCCCGATCTGTATTGCTTACACCTTGCTTGATAACTATTTTCTGGTGCACCTAATGTGATCCTGGTTTATGCATATGAATCAGGCGTACTTTGAATTTTTCATCAGACCAACTGATCATCATCATCATCATCATCATGGTCATAATGACCAACCTGTTAATATAGAAACTAGGGGTGCCCAGAGCTGTGTTTTTGGTAATTATGGGAGTTGTAGTCCAAAAGTACAAATCTGCACACCTCATGGAAGATATAGTACCCTTTATTGCTTCCTTGGTTCATCTCCTCCCTGTGGAGGAGATTTTAGGGTGTCAAGGACTCACACTGAAGAGCAATCAACACAATGGCAGTGCTGTTCTCCAGAGTCCAGTTAAATGTAACAACAATCTTCTTTCTGTCACTTGTCACTGTATTTTCTGGTTCTGAAGCCTGAAATGTGCTTCAAACAAAGGCAGAGGCTCATCTCCAAATTGGTAGCCTGGGGCCCTTGAGACATGCTATTTGATCACAGCCACTATTTCTCCTCAGACAAAAGCTTCATAGAAAGTCCTTGTTAAACCTTCAGCCATAGAGACTCCATAACTGAAGTGTGTTGTGCTTCATGGTAGTAAAGGGAATGTTCATTATGCTTTGTCCTTTCAGATCTGATACAAGGAACCGTTCAATTGTGTGCCTTCTGAAGTTTACTCATTATTTATTAAAAGTATTTGTTAATTGCTTTTCTGCCCACCAGGGCTCCCAAAGTAAGGTATAATAGATTTTATGTACAACAGTTAAAGGAAAATTTCTACATAAATAATTGTAACTGAGAATTTTTGCACACACCCACAAACTTGAGTTTAAAAGGCCACAAGTTTATTACTTACAGCAGCAGTTTACCTGGTGAAGCATTGTGATGGATCTTGCTCATTGGGGGACCCTAATACCACCCAGTGCCACCCAGCATACCAATGGGATCCTTCCTGTGAGACCACTTGGAATGGCAGATCTCCTGGAGCCACGCAGGCATATGCCACTCCATGGCTCCACAAACTTGAGTTTAAAAGGCCACAAGTTTATTACTTACAGCAGCAGTTTACCTGGTGAAGCATTGTGATGGATCTTGCTCATTGGGGGACCCTAATACCACCCAGTGCCACCCAGCATACCAATGGGATCCTTCCTGTGAGACCACTTGGAATGGCAGATCTCCTGGAGCCACGCAGGCATATGCCACTCCATGGCTCCTCACCAACCAGGGGCAGCCGCAAACTGTCCCACCCAAGCTGGGACAGCCTAGCCCCCATACCCAGTTCCCATTTAGGGATATCAATCCTGACCTGCAGGTCTCTGCCTGCCATCCTGTGACCGTTGTAATGTCCCAATGTCCCAAATGGCCTCATCAAGTTGGGCCAATAAAGGAAGAATCACTGAACACCTAGCAGTGGAACCATTGAACTTCTGTACAAAGGTGCAAATAGTATAACCAAAGAAGGTGGGTTGAGGAGATGGGAAGCTACACAGAAGAAACTGGGGCTTGGCAGGTACCTCAGCTCCCACTTTTGTGCACGGCCAATGGATTGGTGTGAAGCTCTGCCTCTTCTGTTCCACTGGCCTGCCCTCACTCTTCCTCTCATCATGCTGGCCTCTCAGCCAACCAGCACGAACCTTCCTGTGGAAGGAGGCCAGGTGGCAGAGGTCCTCTTGCCAGCCCCCAGCATGTGGTTGCTGCCATTGTGCAGCCTCCCTGCATGGAGTGGGCTGGCCGCTGCCCAGCAACAACATGGAAACCAGGGAAGTCCTCATTCCCATCTTTTCACACATACATACGCATGGATATGTTACACACACACACACACACTCACTCACTCACTCAAAGTGCTTGGAAAAATTATTGTGTTTGGATTTCAGCTCTTAGAAGCCTCCACAGCTGGGCAGTTGGCCACACTATCTGTAAGACTTTGTGAAACAGATTTGCCCTGATGAGTAATCCGTATTTAGTGCAAATGATAATGCTTTTCAGACTGAAACATTTCCTTTGGATAGCTGCTAATATAAAACTGGCCATCCACCAAACAAAGAGAGCAGCTTTAAACACACATTCTAGCTAGTGCTGTCTCCAAACATTTTAAATTTAAATTTATGTTTTGAAAAGGCATATGCCTTTGTTGAAGGACTGCCTTGGCACTTTCAAGTGTTATGGATAAATCCTACTCCTGTCCACCAACAGGTGGCAGAAGAGTGCTATAATTCTGAGCCCACAGAGAATGCAGATTCTTAGGGACCTTTCAGTAGCCTATTGAGGGGGAAATGTGCAGGGTGAGGATGGTACTGTAGATTTATTTATTTAGAAATAGTTAGCTCCTGCTCTCATCTGTTAAGAATAAAGATAAAAATGACATGTTAACAATTTGAACCATTGTATTTGCGAAGGCTTTCATGGCCGGGATCTAATGGTCGTTGTGAGTTTTTTGGGCTCTTTGGCTGTGTTCTGAAGGTTGTTCTTGCTAACATTTCTGAAGATGCTGGCCACAGAGACTGGCAAAAAGTTAGGAAGAACAACCTTCAGAACACAGCCAAAGAGCCCGAAAAACTCACAACAACCAATTTAAATGATTGTTAACATGAAAACACAACAATGGCAGCAGAAAACACCAAAAATACCTGTCTGTCCATCTGTCTAAACCATGGATAGAGAGTGTGGGGTCCATAGGAGAAACCTGGATCTTTGCTTCACTTCCTCAGGCCCTTAAAAGTTCTCCTCAGATGAGAGATTTCCCAGTGTTGGGCTACATTCTGACTGAGAAGGGCTCTGAATGGTTGATGAAGCTGGATGATTGTTCTGGAGTGTCGTCTCTGAAGACTCAGATCAATGTGTGCTTTCTAACAGCATCCCTCCTCTGTTTTACTTATTCTGAGTGATCCCCAACAATTTCTCCAACCCCCTTGGGCCAACGGCCTGTGACAGAATGGGGATTCCCCATTCCTAATCCAAGTGGCTGAGTTCCTTCTGTTCAGAATATTGAATTATGCTTTCTAGCTAACCCAGTTTCTCTCTCTCAGATGGCTATGTGTTCACTCTAGGTACCCCAGTAATACAGGATGTTGTATATTTGAGTTATGTGTCCTGTTCCTGTTAAATTTATCCCAACTCCCCCCTCCCCTTATTTCCTGGTTTTATCCACTTCTCTGAAACACCTATGTAAATGTGGACACAAGTCCACTTTATGCATTCTTACAAATAGACTGTTGTCTATTAAAACCATGAGGTAATGAAACTGTTTATATGACTCACCTCTTACATAAATTTTGGTTCTCAGACAGACTTACATTCGAAACACGTGCAGATCACATAAAATAGGAAAGCCACATGCCTGGAAGGAGCTGTTGGTTTGGTAACAGAGAACATAGTTGCATGCTATAGAAAACAGTGGTTCCCAACCTTGGATAACCCAGGTATTCTTGAACTGCAGCTCCCGGAAGCTCTGGCCAGCACAGCTGGTGGTTAAGTCTTCTGGGAATTGCAGCCCAAGAACACCTGGGTTACCCAAGGATGGAAGTCATTGCTGTAGAAGATCAGTTTCAGTTCTTGGCAATTGCCACTTTTAAAAGGATCAGACAGCAGGTGATAGGAAGTAAAACATAAATCCTGTTGATGGCCCTAAAGAACTGCTTTTAGTCTGAGTAGACAACACTAAGCTAGTCTAATAAACAGTTTTGCATGATACAAATCAGCCTTCTGTGTTCCTATGTACTGTTTACTGAATTATGTAAGTTATGAGTCAGGATTCCCTGTAAGTCATATGGTATTTGGAGGAGAAAATGTTTTTTCTTTCTTTCACAATTATGTACTTTTAAAAATAGTTAAGTCAAGAGTATGCCAATATCTGAGATTTCTGGGCCAATACACAAGGCCACAGGGTTGACCCTTTTGATGATACAGACTGGTGAAACGTTAGGAAGAACAACCTTCAGAACAAGGCCAAAGAGCCCGAAAAACCCACAACAACCATTAGATCCCAGCCGTGAAAGCCTTCACGAATATATCAAAGGATAATTGGTGGGCTAAAAAGATTTCTGGGCCAGATGATTGCAGAAATGGGCATGATATGAATCCAAGTAAATGGGCAGAGAATCTGGGTGAAATCTAGCTGGCCAGAACATCAGCAACAGCAACTCCCCACAAAAAAAACCCCACATTTTTTTCCAGCAGCCAGCCAGGTGTCAAAAGGCAAGTTGGTATCAGGTGGAAAATGGTACTGAGCAGTGTCCACCTTTAAAGTCATGTTACACATAGAAGCCCAGCTTTCTTCTTCTCTACCAACAGCTCACCTTGAACTATGTCTCTTGACCTGGAGAACTGGAAATGCATAGGAAGTCCTGTGATATCAGGACTTGGTGTACTCAAACATGTGGACACTGCCTGATAGCTGAAGCTGTCTGAGAAATTCACAAAATAAAGCTTTAGAGCCATACAAAGTGGAAATGTATGTGCTTATTCATTTAAAACAACAGAATGACAGAAAAGTCAAACCAGGCAAAGTAAGCATCAGTGGAAGATACATATATGAAAATTAAAAAAACAGTACATGTCTCAGTGCCTACAGTTTCTAATTGACATGGTGCTAGGTCCAGTTTTAATTGTGATTAGGGTAGACCCACTAAAAGCAATAGGGCTTATGTTAGCACTGACAAATTATCCCATTTATTTCAATGGGTATATGCTGGTTAGGTCTTACACTGGATTTAGCCAGCATTCTTCAGAATGTAAATACCAGTCTGCACACAGCAGATTTCAAGTGTAGAGTTGCCTGTCTCTGCGTCTTTACTGGAACAGGTAAGCATACGGCTTTCACACAAGTCTTTATTTGGAGACTTTCACACAAGTCCCCAACATTTTTACTCATGCCAGAGTGTGTGCATGTGTGTGTGCAAAATTTCAGAGAAAGGGGCATGTCAATGGATGGTTAACACAGATGGTGATCCTGGGATAACAGCCAGTCAGTCTGTATTAGAGATGGAAATGAACTGAAAATAAGCCATGAACCAGGCCGGTTCAAGATTTGGTTCATGCAACCCATTTTGACAAAATGAAACCAAGCGCCAAACTTTTTTCCAACTTGGCACTTTGTTTTGGATACCTGCCTGCCCCCTTCCCGCTGTCCCCGTCGCTTCCCTACCTGGGTTCTGCCGCCATCTCCTCCTCCTCCTCCGATGGTGCCAACTTCACAGACAGCAGCCTGGCTTTCCTTCCAGATACAAAGGGAACCTTTGAGAGAAGCAGGAACTTGACACTATATATGGGTTCCTAATGTCTCTCCTTTTCTCGTCTTCCAACTCATTTAGAACTTGTAAAACTTTTTTATTTTGGAGATTGTGACTCTCAAAATGTCCCAGACACCATGGCTACCATTGTAGTCTAAAAAGTAACTTTGCCAACATCTCTCCCCCCCCCTCCTTTAAAGAGATTTGCCTGCCATCATGGCGAGGAAGAAAAATGTTCTTGGAATCACCTTAGGGGCTTTATCTTTGTCTCAAGACTTTTTCTACAGAACCTATTCCCTTTCATTCTTTCCCTTTGTCTAATGAAAGGGAAACCTGTAAGGTTCCATCCAAACGAATAATTCTTGTGGAATTTTCCTCTCAGTTGACCTCAGATGAACATGAAGGCAGCTGCTAGGATGGCACCATACCAAGACTACTCAGCAATACCTCCTTTTGTGAGAGGCATTTTGCTGTATTAATCTCATAAATGCGCCGGTTCTTACATGGTTTATGAGGAGCAGAACATTAGTTCCCGAGTGCTTCACATGCGGTACGGTTACTGCCTTTTATGATGCTCCATCTTTGAGTATACAAGCCTGCTCCTGGGGCAACGCTAGACATAATTGACTCTGTGGAAGGCATGACTAAACTGCTGTGCTATACGACTGATAGCAGGCACCTAAGAAGAGGAGAGACAGAGGGACAAAGCTGTGGTTACCATAAAATAAAATAGATTCTTGCAAACCATGCCATGCCTTAAATTTTGCCATGTAACCAGCCAGCCACTGCCTGGTTCTAGCAAAGGCCTGATAAATAATAATTTGATTATGCTGAGGTCCTCCACAACCAGGTGATATATAAATCAATACAATTATACGTAAATAGAGGTGATGTGTATTGAGTTTGGTAGAATTCATTCACATTTAAGTGTATGCAGATCGGCACTGCAGCCTAAAGGTGCCTGAAAGTACAAATAAAGAGAAAAAGGACACAGAAATACAGTCAAGGGAAAAGTCACAACGTATTCTCAAGTGTGTGTAAAAATAAAGTTTTCTGTGCTACCTTTATGATAAACAGATTGATGGTAGCCTGATGTGATCGAGTTCTTCTGAAATTGGTGATGGTTCCTTCATTTTGGTGGGAATGAGAGACGGAGGCGGTTTGAACTGTTCAACAACCTTAACTTTATTTTCATCAGCTTCTGGGTTAACAAGATTAAATGGATCAAAACAGCTTAATTCTGGAATCATTCTATAACTCAATATCTTTGACTCTGGTGTAAATATTTCACTCCTCACATTGGGGCTGGACCAAAGCGCTCGCAGTCGGTCATCGGTCTCATTGGGGTACTCCTCACAGCACACACCATCCCACAACATGGGTGCCTTGCCCAATCCCCCTCTGGGGGTGGGGTGTTGCAGGAAGGACTGGGACGGATCACTTTACTTCTTCCGCTTTGATCGCGGGGGTAGATCACGACCATCCACTCTAGTGACTTCACCACCCTCCCATCACCTCTGGGAGAGGTAGGATCTGGTAGCAATCATCCTCTCATCTTGAGATTGGGAAATTCTCTCAACAGATCACAGACCTTGCTAGCTGATTCATCCACACCATCTGTTTGCACTGCGCTGTCTCTCCTGTTTCTGTCTTTCGTGTCAGTTTCCACTCTAAATTCCCACTTGTCGCTCCCCTCTTTTATAACCTCCTCCCATAATATCAGATCTTGCTCCTCCCATTTGTCTTCCTCCTTGTCTTGTGCTAAGCATATCTCTATCACCCTTGCGCCCTTCACCTCATCTTCCTCTATCTTTATGAGCTCCCCCTCTACATATACAAATGTCTCCTCTTCTCTATCTGCTGAGGACGGCACACTAGCCTTTTGTCCACACCGGAGCTCACATCTTCAGATGCATGGAATGATATTTCTGGGGGCCCAGAATATGCACATAGTATGTTTGGTTAGGGGTGGGATGTAGACAGTCCCTATCCCACTGCCAACCATGTGTAGTCTCTTGGGCCAGCGAAGCTTCATTTCATGTACCTGAAGAAGTGGGCTATGAGTCCACAAAATCCCATGTTATCATAAATTGGCCAGTCTTAGATGTACCACATGACCATTTGTTATTTTACTGTATCAGCGTAACAGGACAACCTGTGGAAGTGACATCAAATACACCTGATGAATAAAATTGAACAGTCACTTTTAAAGGATAAAAACAGAGAGAGAAGCCAACATCCTATTGCCTAATTACGTATGCTTGTGTGGCATAATTTTTGGACCTGACTTGCCTTAAATTTTAAAAAAATCACCACAGACCTTATCTGTTGCATATTGAGTTGTGTGACTCAGCATGCAATTGAGAATGTCTATGATGATTTCCTAACTTGGGTTAATTTGTCTCTAAAAGTTACATTCTTTGTGTAGCTACACTAGAGGATTGGGGTCAGACTTGATGAGGAGGTGTCATCTTACATTAGAGAGTGTCCCAGTTAACCTGATCAGTTCAAAATTCATGTCTGTTGGAAAGAGCACAAGTGACAACACATAGTAAGGATGTCTTCTTTCACTACAGAAAAAAAAACCCTCAAGTCTTTGACACATTGGACAGTGAGTCAAGGTCATTCCAAAAGTACAACCAATTCCACAACATACATATTCAACTCAGTTTTGTACATGTCCATTCCACAGTTGCCCAAAAAATGTAACATGTGCAATAAATGGTACTTATGCTAGTGGATTTTAAATGTATGATTCCTGTAATAGGCTGCCTGCAGTTAATTTATTTAAGTACACCAGTTTAAAAGTTGTGAAAATTTGGAGTGCTGGTTAACTTACATACATATGCTGATTATATATTTTTTAAGATAATCAATGTTAATTTTTGTTAGATAAATTCGGAACATAACCATTCAATCCTGACTAGTCATCTTTTGCAATTTATCCTGCAGTGAATTCCATGCAAAAGTCTGACATTTGGTGTGGAGGTTGCATTTCTCAGATACTATCCTCTATTCAAGAATGAGACTTTACCTCAAATCAAGACTGTTTGTTCAGCTGGATTATTTATATAAACACCACACA